GCAAACTGCGGCCCCTTGAGTGTGGCTCTGCCACAAAGTACCACGTGCGGGTGTACACGTACAGTGCAATTGAAACTTCGTGGCCACACTCAAGGGGCCAAAGAGCTGCATGTGGCTCGCGAGCCGCAGTTTGCCGACCACTGCCACATAGTGTTTGACTACAATTTATTCCAACCTTCCAAAATAGGCAAACCTATGACTGCTAATTTGAAGGAGTTTCTTTTTGGGGAGATGGAAATTTTATTTAAAAACTCCCATTTCTTGCCCAGCTGATGTGGCTCAGTTGGTTGAGTGTCAGCCTATGAACCAGGAGGTCAAAGTTCGATTCCCAGGTCAGAGCACATGCCCAGGTTGCAGGCTTGATCCCTAGTAGAGGGCATGCAAAGGCAGCTGGTCAATGATTCTCTTTCACCATTGATGTTTCTCTCTCTCTCCGTCTCCTTTCCTCTCTGAAATCAATAAAAATATATTAAAAAAAAATTCGCACTTCTTGCCCTGCTTTCTAAATAGGGTAAAGCCAGAATTAGCTCGATTTTCATGAAGAAAATATAAAGTAGATTTTATTTAAATTATGTTAAGATTTATTTGCTGTGAACATAAGGGCTATTACTGCAAGAGTTTACTCTCCACAGCCAAATCTCGCAAGGACAGCCAACACAGCAAAAAGTTCTCTTTGAGAACTTCTATTAGTTTACTTAAACCTAACCCAGTAGTCTACAAAATAGGGATAGAAAGATTTTTCAAAGGTAGAAAACAGAACTTTATTTCAGACTAAAGAACATGCAGATACTTTTCCTTTAGAGCATTAGGATATAAACCAAACTCAAATTATTATATAGAAGCTTATGGTTGTGAAAGGTGTATGGGTGTTGAATAGTTTTCATACTTCTATAATATCAAAAAAATAAATGTATTGTCTGTTTACCAGCTTTTCAAATAGGAATTTTCTTTTTCCTTTAGCAGAACACTGCTAATTGCTATATCTGTACATTTCCTCTTAATATAAAAAATATTTGATAAAATCATTCTATGAAAAAAATCTTTTCAAGTAACACTGCTGCAGTGCCTTTTCAAAAATGTGAAGCTTCTGAAATTGGGAGGATGCTAGTTTTTATGTGCTACAGAGAAAGGATAACAAGAGAAACAGTGGCTCATGTGACCACATCTTAGTCCCATGAAACAAGTAAGAGCAGAGCATAGAAATACAGAAAGCAAAGAGCAGGATAAAGGTCTTGCCTCTCTATTTTTAACTCTAGGCCAAGTAATTACTTAAGAGGGATACATAGTAAAGGATATTATAACCTCCACTTTATTACTTGTTTGCACCTACACAATTGGTATGTACTTTTGTGGCTAGTGAATTAGTCCCCATTTGGGATACAAAGCTAGACTTAATGAGTACTAGTAAGTCTACTTACTTAACTCAGTAGTCTATGCACCTGTGTTGACATTATTTTTATTCTTTTAGTCTTTCCATTTACAGCCCACTGGGACTCCAGGTACCTACCTGCTTCAGACAAGCTCAAGCCAAGGCCTTCCCCTCACGCTGACTGCTAGTCCCACAGTAACCCTGACGGCTGCTGCACCTGCTTCTCCTGAACAGATCATCGTTCATGCTTTATCTGTATGTTACCTTACATAAACTCTTTGGGTTTTCAAATTTTTGTAGAGAAGATTGGCTGACAAATGTCACCATGTTTTTCTAGTTTTTAATACTATGCTAGCACCCATGTGCTTTCCATAACAAGCTGAGGGGAGGGGGATTTATTTTGAGCTCAGTTCAAGTATTTGAATACCTGTTAGGGACCAAGATTAGTTTATATAAGAGCCCAAACTAATAGTCCATTTATTTAAACAATTCTCCCTATCACTGTTGTCCCAGGAGCAATATTTTACATCTTCATTCTGCCTTCACTGGGGTAAATCCCTCACTCCCTGTGTCTCTTTACATGTGACAGACTTAGATTAGGGGAGTAGGAATAATAGGTGAACAAAGGCCCATGTGGGCAAAGAACAGGGTTTCTAGAAAAATCGTGGAAAGAAAACTGCAGTTCCAGAAGTGAGAGGTGGGGGTGAACAGTAGCCCATATTAGCATCTATAAATGTCATTTGTTGCCTGTAACTTGAATATGATAGGTACTTTTTCATTTTGCCATTGATCTTTCTTTTTTAACATTTTATAGCCAGAGCATTTGTTGAACACAAGTGACAATGTCACAGTGCAGTGTCACACACCGAGAGTCATCATTCAGACAGTTGCCACAGAGGACATCACTTCTTCCATATCCCAAGCAGAACTGACAGTAGATAATGATATTCACTCATCAGATTTTCCTGAGCCTCCAGATGCCCTAGAAGCAGATACTTTCCCAGATGAAATTCATCAGCCTAAGGTGACTGTAGAGCCATCATTTAATGATGCTCGTGTATCCAAATTCAGTGACCAAAATAGCACAGAACTGATGAATAGTGTTATGGTCAGAACAGAAGAAGACCTTAAACAAGAGGAAGAATCACGCTCTCATTTGGCCTGTACTTACGTTACTGAGGTAAGTTATACTTAAGTGAACAGCCTAGGGGTTCTTGCCTTGAGCTTCAAACCTGCAGTTTGGAAAGAGCTTAGAAATAATTTACCGGGTGATATCCTGTGATACTGCTTTTCTTTAGACACAAAATAAAGTGCAAACCCATACCTCTGACCGCACAAGTATCAGTCAACCAGTAGTGTTGCTCTGTCTTACCACTGTCCCTCACTAAATAAAAGCATTCCCTTGGAAACATTTGTTGGAACCCATGGAAGCATTTTCCTGAGGGTAATTAATATAGATCTTTATGGTTTAGCTTAGGAACCTCATGCCACAGAACAGCATTATTCTATAATCAGGGGACCTATAACTGAATTGGTTCTTTTGTCCATTTTAAGACCTTAACTTTCATTTCCTTATATTTTAATTTTAAAACTAGAGGCTCGATGCACAATTTGTGCACCAGTGGGGTCCCTCGACCTGGCCTACAGGATCGGGCCGAAACCGGTTCTCCAACATCCCCCGAGGGGTCCCAGGTTGCAAGAGGGCGCAGGCCAGGTCGAGGGACCCCACTGGTGCACGATCGGGGCAGGGAGGGACCACAGGAGGGCTCCAGGGCATGTCCGTCCTGTCTCGCTTCTCGCTCAAGTCCTGATCAGCCAGACCCCAGCAGCAAGCTAACCTATGAGTAGGAGTGTCGGCCCTCTGGTGGTCAGTGCACGTCATAGCGACTGGTCAACCAGTTGACTCTCTGCCCCCTGGTGGTCAGTGCCCATCATAGCAAGCAGTTGAGCGGCCTTAGCATATCATTAGCATATTACACTTTGATTGGTTGAACGGACCACTGGACACTTAGCACATTAGGCTTTTATTATATAGGATGGGATACTTGAAAGTTAAACATGTTTGGGATCTTAAGGAAAACTAATAAGGAATTTGAGTCAGAATCTCATTTTTTAAAATTATTATTTAGGATTTAGAGTCTCCTACTATAGAAGAACAAGTTGGTCAAACAACAATTGATGATGAAACAATACTTATTGTTCCTTCACCACATGGCTTTATCCAGGCATCTGATGTTATAGATACGGAATCTGTCTTGCCATTGACAACACTAACAGGTACTGTAATACATCTCCATCATATGCCTGGTGAGTCTTGAGACAAATCAGGCAGATATTTAATTCAGTTGTTTTAGTCTTTCTTGATCCAACAATGAAGATTAGTCTTCTTGTTAAATTTTTCACTTTGGTAGAATACTTACTCTAGACTCTTGACATGGATTAGGATATATATATGTTATATACATTCAAGACTGATTTGAAATTTAACTCATTACAGATCCCATATTCCAACATCATCGAGAAGAATCAAATATCATTGGGTCATCTTTGGGCAGTCCTGTTTCAGACGACTCAAAGGATGTTGAAGATTTGGTAAACTGTCATTAGGTAATTCTTAGAAACAGGTAGTTCAGGCAAAGAAGCCACACTATTAATTACAACATCCCCAAAGAAATAGGAGAAACCCCCAAGAGGCTTAACTTACCATTCCTCTGGCTTTTAAATACATACAGTGCTTAAGCCAAGAACAGTGTTGCTGCTATGACTTTTTACCTCCTTTAAATATATCATCTGCGGTCTAGTCTTATGGAAGTATGAGTGTGGGAGGTCTTAAATACATAGATCCCTGTGATAAGTGCCATCTGTTAGCAGGGAATTTCATTCACTTCAGCCACTGAGAAGAGTTTTAAATCACCAAAGTTTAACTACTGTGTTTTAGAAATGGCAATATTCATCTCTGATGATCAGATATGAGTCTCTGTCCAGTCCCAAGTAAGCCTGTTTATATTTCATCAACATGGTCTGGAGTTACCAGTGACCTTCTTCAAAAAGATTATCATTAGCTTGAGACTGACCAGCATACAAGGACACAGACCTAGGAGGTGATTGTGCTGCAGTTTCCTTTGGTTTTACTGATTGCTGGCATTGGGAGCTGATTCAAGCTGGGTAGAGAAGAAAGCATTAAGAGATAAAAAATATTCACTACAGGTTTTTTTTATTATTATTACTTTAAAGGGACTATGGATGAGGGTAGTGTCAAAACTCAGTTTTCACTTCTTCAGAACCCACTGTCATCAGTTTACAAAATTAGCACTTTGAAGTAAAATGAAATGGGAAGGAAGTAAAGTTCCCTGTCTTATACTATGACCATTTCTTACGTGTTTTACAATATAAAGTATCCAGAAAATAATTAAGGAGGGTACCAGAGTTTGCTGTTCACTTAGTGCATTAGCTGGTGAGGGTGTGATAAAATTTCTCCCTCTCGGGCAATTTTAAAAAACAAAATTTGCTTCTGTAATGAAATGAAACAAATCAAGAGTCATTCCTGTACTAGAGAAGGTTAAACCAAAACTAGCCTCTTAAAGCTTTAACAAATATGACTCTATGGAAAAGTAAACAAAAAAAAACAACCTTGTATAAATTATTTTATTTATTATTGTAATTAGATCTTCACAATCAAATTGTCTTTTCACCGTCTCTGTTTTGTTAATGTGAAAACAAATTGTAGTTTTAAGCAAGAGTTGGTTGCCTAGGGAACAATAATTGTATATTCAGTTTAACAGAAATAAAAGAATATTTGTCTTAAAATGCAAGATTGTTTGTTACATAGCCTTTCGCCATGCCATTACATTATAAAAAATTTCAATTTCAAAAGTGAAAATTACTTGTGCTATTTGAGCTTTAAGGGTTGGAATGTTTAAGTGCAACATCAGCTCCTTAAAAAAGCAAAGTGATCTATATAAAGTCTCCCCTGCAAGAGGGAATTTAGATTTACAGTTAACATGAAAATCATGTATCAGACTTGTGCAGGAGATTCTTCAGCATACCTTATCCAGCTTTTATTCACAGTCCTAATGTATAGCTTTGAAGAGACCTGGTAAGTATTTTCTCCTTGGCAGCCTCACTTTCCCACATCATGGAAGTACAGGTTCGCACATATACATAACATGGTGATAGAAAATAAGATATAGTAAATTAGATTTCTAAATTTCGGTTCTAAGTCTCCTTGTCGATACCAGTAGATCTAAAAGAAGAAGAATTAAATAAAAATTTAAGTAATAGCCATTGGTTCAAGTATTTAAAATACAACTAATTATTTTTCCTCTGGATGAGACAGATTTTGTATTAATCTACATTCCTGAGACTTAATGCAGCCAGAATTTAATTCTCATTCTTTATCATTCAAGTAGTACCACTAAGTTTCCACATCCAAAATCATACTGTTCCTGCTTGCTCAGTTAACATTGTTCTATGTTTAAATCAACAGCATCCCCCAATCATTTGGCAAGCATTCAAAAATGTGTACCATTTGGATGTTTTAAATATAGGGTGGGCAAAAGTAGGTTTGCAGTTAAGAGTATGCCAGAGTTTATTCTTTTGTATATTTTCCCATACAAACAACCCTATCTTTTCCCACCCCTTCATATTTGAGTAAAAAATACAATTCCTTTAGATACTGGAAGGGGCAACAACTTTTTAATTCATATACAATTCAGACTGCCAGTACAAAATTGGGCTTACATATGCATGTATTTGGTTTAAACTAAATCAGTTAGTCACTTCTGGCTTTAAGCTGGGGATGGGAGGAGAGCATCTCTGGTAGCTTTGTTCCAAAGGCTCCTAAAGTGAGGTGGCCAGTCCTCCCCTCAGATCATAGGACAGCAGAATCGGTGCATTAGAAGTTTGGAGATCCTGTTTAATCTTAAGTTAAATGAGCATATTGCTATTATGAGTCAAGCCCTATGTGAGTCAAAACAAATACTCTTAATGGGTTTACTGTGTTGATTCTGCCTCTCATCAAAGGAAATAAAATAATAACCAACTAATGAATGACTGAACACTTGGCAAATACCCAACTGAGGCCTATCACCATCTTTCTCACCTCAAAGAAAAGCTTTGTAGTAAAATTGAAACTGTAGTGACAAGGATACAACTGCAGCTCTAGGTTCCCCTGGAGAATTATTTTCATTTGGGGAGGTAAGCACAGAAATTAAAACAGACTTTTTAATTATTAGAAATAAATCCAGAGTGCTAGTGCTGTATCTCTTCCTGTAAGAGCAGTAATGGCCTTTCCCAAAGCCTGTTGAGCCTGCAGTTCTTGAAGGAAGATAAGTAAAGTTCAACAAATTTTTGGCGACCTAGGTATTTTTAAGTATTTCTTTTTTTCCATTTTTTAGCACCAAGGGAAGTTTCTCTTTAAGGTTACAACTTTGGGACTTAAGAGAAAAGGAATTCAAATTAAAAAAGAAAACCCTGCAATTAATATTGAGAATTCTGACATCCTTGGGGGTGGGGTTGTTAGAGATACCCTTTCAGATAGACCCAGAGCTGGGCATTTGTCCAGGCACAGCAACCTTCAGACCTCCAGGATATTCAATTTCAATTCTAAACAGTACTCACAAGTATGCAGGCAGTAATACAACTCAAAGAGATGCAGACAGCAAAAAATATATTCAATGGTTTTGGAGGTGGTTGAGGGAAAACAAAAGCACTGATCAGCGTTACCTGTATGAAGAGAAATTAGGCCTTAGGAGTAATTTGGTTAGACAATGTAATATAACATATACTTCACATTGTAAAATGATATCACCAGATTTGCCTTATGGAATGTTAATTTTAATGTTTAATAAAATACTTGCTTGACTGTTACTTCATTTAGTACTTCCTCTTTCTAACTTTTTCCTCCTTTATGAAAGGAGACAAAACAAAGAGCAGTGTAACTAGCTAACCTCGAAATAATCTCTTAACAAAGATTAAAAAGCATCTTAGCCTAATTCCTAGGATTAATAATTACATTGGGAAAAGTTCTAACCTTTTTGTTATTTTGAATACTCCCAACAACAAAAAATGACAAATATGACCAAAACTGTTTTTGCTTAACATTATGAAAAATATTGAAAGGGATTTCTAATGCCCTATGGAGATCTATTTCTACCATAGATACAGCAATCTATCCTTTTTTATTAATAAGCCTTGTTAACAAATTGCCTAAAATTTTCTTATATTTAATGAATATGCGCCACAGAAATGTCACTCTAGACTATGGGAAATAGCTTTGTTTTTTTATTTATCGTGATAGCACCAACCTATATTATTCAGGATGAAAAATTGCTGTGTAATATGACCAAATATTTTTAATCCAAAATATGATGAATGTGCTTTAAGGAACAAAGTAAATTTAAGATATTAACAAAAAAAGTGATGCCTATAGGGTATGTACAGAAGGGAATTGTGGTAGACACTGACACATTACTTATTTACTAGGCATACTCAGAAAAAATAAGTTATTTGACTTGTACTATTTCACATATTCAACTATGTATGCAGGTGGAAACCAATTTAGCTATTCAAGTTACTAATTGCAATTTTAAGTGGTAATAAAATTGAAAAGTCTTAATGTAATTATGACTGGAATGCTTCACATGCTGATATGCTGGCCCCTTTTAAGTATTTTTTTGAAGAGTTAATTGAACCACAATACTAAAGTTTTTAAAACTTTGGCTAAGAGCCAGGGTGAGACACAAAATAAAGATACTTACTAGAATCAATAAGGATGTTAAGATGCCAACAACTAAATTGATGATTCGATCCTGAAAGAGAAAAGAGTTTTTGAGCCATATGGTAGATCTATGGCACTTTCAGAAAAGTACACCACAGGCACTGCATGATTAGAATGAAGAAACAATGACCCTGCCCCTCTCTTTACACATACACCATTGCCAGAAAGGCAAAGTGTACTCTGCCACCAAAGTGGAAAAAAGGTACTCTGGGAAGACAGGGATGTCAATATAAGAAATACTCAAACCTGTAGAGAATTTTTGTGAGTTTATTTGAGCCAAATTGATAATTGCCAGGAAGCAAAATCTCAACAGATTAAGAAAATGCTCCAGAGAATGCCAGTTTTGCACCTTAGTTTATACATTACAATAAAAAAAGGAGCCTTAAGTGGGTTATGGGTTACATGAAATCTATTTGTGACAGATTAGGAAGGCCGGAGAAAGCAAAGCAGGGAAATCTCTGGGATTGGATAAAAAGTAAAATGGTAGCCCTGACCGGTTTGGCTCAGTGGATAGAGCGTCGGCCTGCGGACTGAAAGGTCCCGGGTTCGATTCTGGTCAAGGGCATGTACCTTGGTTGCGGGCACATCCCCAGTGGGGGGTGTGCAGGAGGCAGCTGATCGATGTTTCTCTCTCATCGATGTTTCTAACTCCCTCTCCCTTCCTCTCTGTAAAAAATAAATAAAATAAAAAATTAAAAAAAAGTAAAATGGTAGACATACTTGTTTTACATAGGTGAATATAGGATGGGTAACAGTCAACAGTTAACAATGAGGGATTTGTGGTCTCCACAGAGTGGTGCCTCTGCTTTGAGGGGTCTGAAAAAAATTACTTTGACATTCCAAAGGAATGTTATTATAGATACAAAAAAAAAAACAGGCTTATTGGTAAAGGTGAAAACTGACCTTTGTCAGGGAAGATTTCTAGGACAAGACTACCCACCATAAACTGCTTTTAGTTAAAAGTTTTAATTTAGACCATCCTATGTTTGTAAGGCCACCACACAGGCCTCCTGAGATTGTCAGGTTTACTATATGGCCCCTTTTTGTCCACAGGGACAACTAATGTTTCTTGACAGGATAGGACATGTTTTACACTCAAGTCTTTTGAAGATGGAGAAGGATTCGATGGGGAACATTGAGGCTTACAAAAAATCTGTGTGCTGCTAGAACGTAGGAGCAGGAGCAAAGAGACAGCCCTGGGATGGCCTCCTAGATCCTTGGTGAAAAGAACCAGACTGTAGTGATGTTAATTGCCATCATGAGTTTTTTCCAACTTATTAAATGGGGAAAAGTCTTCAATATATAAACCCCCTGACTGCTTTGTCTTTCCCATCCTCACCCCAACAAACCACAATGGTTTCAAAAGCTGATCTAATCCAATCTTAATTTTACAGGTTAAGGTACATTAGGCCCAGTGAGTGTGGTTAAATAGTGCCTAACGTCACACAGCAAGTTAGAAGCAACTTCGAAACAGGGTTCCTAAATCAGGTCCTCTGATTAGATTTAGCTTCAGTTATGGGGACTAAAAAAAGTTAAATACCTCACATACATATGTTACTAATATTAATTATGCAGATCATATATATGTTTTAAGTTATAGAAGTTGTTTGTAGAGTTCACAGAATAAGGTCATAAGGACTTAAGACCTGATGAGCAAACACTACTGTAAGACCAATAAATACCAAGCAGTCTTATTTCTGAGAAAGCTGAGTAATGAATCAGTAATCTCACAGATTGTTTTGGTAAAGTTTTAGCAGAGAACAGCAGGATATGGAATAAACAAAAGCTCAGAGATGGGAAGGGTATAGGAACCAGCACAGAAGAGCAACTGAACCCTCATTTCATAGTGAAAAATAAGAATCCAAAGTTAAGAGGCAGGCAGAGCTGGGAGGCAAGAGTGAAAGAAAGCCAAGTATCATATTGGGTGTGCCTAATCTAACCAAGGACAAGCCTCTGTCCAGACCAAGGCCAGTGCAATTCAATGTTACATGGTACAAAGGAAACTGAATACCTGCCACACCCTTTCTAACCTAGGAAGGCTCAGACCATATCTTATCACCGCCTCAGCTAGAGGAGCCTACACAGCACATAGTAGCCTGGAATTCCAACCATTTTTAGAGAAGAGACCCAGGGGCTAATAACTGGTCACTATTATTCCCACACAACACAAATTTTAAATGTGTGTGTGTTTAACATAAATGTGTATATGGATCACTCTACCTTGTGAAAAAGGTTCATCTAAACTCTGATGGTCTACGCTGAGAAGTCAAGAGTATCTGCTCCCATCTATAAGCTCCAGGGATTTGCAAAAGCTTAAGGAAGTCTGCATACCTTCCAACATTCCTCTTACCAATAGAAGCCAGTGAAGATGTTCAGGTGAGAGGTAGCCAAGAATCACTAATCTCCAGCAAGTTGCCAACCAGGATCACTTTTTTTTTTTTTGGGGGGGGGGGGGGGGGGGGGGAATGGTGAGGAATAGTAACTATGCCAGAAGTTTTTGCGTATCTTTTCTAAAAGTCCTGGGATGAAATGGTATGAGAGTAAAACAGGGTCAGGGAAATTGAAAACTTGCCCAAGTTCTCAATATCAATGAGTGATGGAGACAGAATTCAATGCCAACAGAGCAGATTCCATTTATCCTCCTCACTGGAAGAGCAACCTAGAATGCTACTGCTGGTCTAGACAAAGATACCAAGTGGCAGTTGACACCTCAAAAAGCCTATTGGCCAGGTATTACAGTGTTTATCTTCCAGGAATGAAGATTTCCTCATAAGATTGGACTTATCCACGTAAGCTTAACTGGTTTTAATCACTCATGAAAATATAGCTAAACTAATGACTACTACCCTGCTTGCCTTCTAGACAGTTCACCAAATGGAACGCTGAGGCATCTCCATGAATACCGTTTATTCGATTGTTATATCACAGTCACTCTGGACTCCCAAGGTGGGATGAACTATTTGGCAAAGGGCAGGAGTTTCTCACAGGGTATTTTTTCTCCAAGCCAAGACCTTGGATTCAGACCTTCTGCTATCAAAGTAACTATGAGTCCAGGCCAAAGAAACGGTTAACTTTGGAAGACCTCGCACTCTTAGGCTCTTCTAAATGCTTGCTACCCAAAGTGTGTTCTGTGGGCCAGCAACACTGGCCCCAGCTGAGAGCCCGTGAGAAATGCAGAATACTGGGCCTCACTCCAGACCCACTAAATCAGAATCTGCTTTTTACCAACTCCTCAGGTGACTTCTGTGCACTGCTCTAAAGTTTAGATTCTAAATGAAACCATTTTGAATACTGATTAAGTCCAAGTCAAAGGTGAGAGACCTTTCCCTGGGCCCAGAGATTGTTTTTCAGGGCTTTATTAGCTCCCCCAGCTCCCAGTCTCCAAAGATAAAAGAATAGAGAACAATTAAACAGCCAATTAATTAGTATTTCAGGAGTTTTAGAATTGATAGGCTCCAAATCAGAAATAGAGCACTTGGGGAAAGGAGACTACTGAATTTAATCTTTGCTGTTAATGGAATGAACTGAAACTCAGATTATTTCCACAAGTATAGCTAGTCCCTATTATTCTAATTTCTCACAGAAACTAGCGCTATCTCCTCCCCAGTTTTATTACCCTTTTCCATCTACCAAGACCATTCTCCCTTCCCAGAGCCTTAAACTTGTTGCTTATTTTCACTCCCCAAGGAAGCTTGACAGGATCAAAACCAGCCTTGATCCTTACCTGCAGAGAGGATGGGCTAGGGAATCAGGATGTCCTTCCCAAAGACAAATACTCGGCAACAGGTTGAGAGAGTCTTAACTCATATACATGCAGATATGAGCACATGAACATAAAAATATACATGTATAGTCTTGAGAAGGATTCTGATATATAACCTCACAAGTTATTTGTTCATTTAAACATTATCTCAATTATTTTTCAATAAAAGAAAAATCTATCTACTATATTCCAGATGCAAACACACAACAATGAATAAAACTGTCTCTACCTTCAGGAAGTTTACACTATCCAGAGTGCCAGAGGGCACTTAGGAGAAAGGAAGTGAGGTTTCTTGGCCATCAGGGAGGGAAGAGGAGTAGTAGTAGGAGCCACATCTTCATCTTCCTTTGAAATGGGGAAGGAGAAAAAAATGGACATACATGCAAATGGCTTCTACCTGTCAAGCAAGTAAGGAACACCTCATTTCCTTTTACCAATGGGTAACTAGATTCAATGACACAGGTAATGGTAAGGTCTCCTATCCAATGCTTTATACAAAATGCAAGCCTAACCAGCAGTTCAAAGGTCTAAGAATCCTTACACCAATACAAGTGGTCCCTGACACTAGAGTCAAAAGACCAAGGTTTTCAATGGCGTTCTGCCACTGGCTAGTTATGTAACTTTAAAAGGATCCCTTAACCCATTTGAGTCTATCAAATCAAATGATCTCTGGTCCCTTCCTGCTTTAATTTATGGCTCTGGATCATCAATCACCACTTGGGCCAGAGGAGAAGGCCAACTCCCCAGTAATCAAAAAGTAGAGGAGCTCCCACCCAATCTTGCTTGGTCAGTCATTAGCCAGCATCTTGCTACAAGACAGCGAACCCCAAACTGATTTCAAATGCTCAACCTTTTAATGATGGCTTTGGAAGGAAATGGGCAGTAACATCCCAAATAACCAAACCTGGCAATTGTCCTCAGCAACCTGGAAACACCCTAGTAGACAGTTTGAAATGCTAAGAAGAGTCATATCATGTTTGACCTTCTATTTCCACAGCAATTTATGTTTTGCCTGCTTCCAAATGGACTTAAGGACTTGTGCTACTATAGTAAAACTCATAACCCATTTAAGCAACAATAAAAAGAGCAAGAAATAATTTCTAAAGGGGTTTTGGGAATGAAGAGTTTACGGGGAAAAAAATTCACTAAAGAAAACTCTTCTGCTTTAAGTTCAAATGTTAGTAGGAAGATTCCTGGCAGCCAAGTGGGATATTCAAGGGGATTTATAAGTTCTCACTAACAAAAGCAAGCATGCTGGGTCACAAGAG